TAAGGATACCATTATTTGATTTTTGATTTTCCTTCTGAAAATCAAAAAGGTGGGAGTGTGTGTGAAACTGATTAGCTGTATCTAACAAATATTAAAAACAAATCTCTTCATTTTGATGTACGAGACACAGATGGCGTTGGCTGTCATTGAAGTAGGAAGAAAAAAAAGGATTTTTCCCCTTTCGACCTCGTGACGTGAACTGATTAATGTGTAATAACTTTCGGGGCCAGAAAAATTTCCCGACAATTGTTAAAAAATGTATATATTTTGTAGTATAGAGAGAATATAATTAGATAAATCAACATATTAGAGTTTTTATTACAGATTCAACATCACACTACCCAGGTAAGTGAGCAAGTTTTGTCTTTAGTTTTTCTGGATTGCTCGGTATCTGGGATGAGTGAAGGAAGTATTTTTATTTTAATGATATTTAATGATAAGACTATGTTTTAGTAATAATAACTATAATCCAGTACTGGTTGTTTATTTTTCTTAATTATTGGTTTCTCACTCCATTTTAACAATTCACTCTTGGGTATAATGTTAACTTGAGCTCCAATATCTAATTTGAAGTTTACTTCGTTCTTATTTACAGTGATCTTTTGGTACCAGACTGATGCTTTATTTGAATCCACCGCGTCAAAAGTTTTTACTTCCCTAGGTAAATAAACTCCGAGTCGCTATCTTCCGTACACTCAACAGCATGCACTCTCTGTTTTGGTTTGGCGCGACACATTTTCACCTAGTGATTTTTCCTACCGCACTTTCAGCAGATCGTTCTGAATGCGGCACACTTCTTTGGCTCATGTTTTCTTCCACATCGCTTGCACTGTTTTATTTGCATTATCTGGGGGGATTTGATCGATTTTTTTTTTTTTTTTTTTCTGAGGGCGTCTACGGAGATTTTGTTCTCGCTCATTTCAGTGGCCTGTGCTTTGCTATGTTTGTCTGCCTTGCATTCACTGATGATATTCTGCAGAGTCTTTTTCGCTCTATTTGTCTCTCGTATTAGTCGTTCTTATAACGCTTTATCTGAGATGCCTTGCACTATTTTATCACGGAGCATTCTATCTTGCACTAAATAAAATCCCACATTATACTTAGGCTTATCGAGAGACGGCGCTAGGTATGCCTGATGCAGTCTCTGCGGGTCCTAAATTCTACTACAAAGCGTCTCCCCAAGTTCATAGTAGTGCTAGAGTGATTTAAGTAGAATCATATTCATCTGCTCTGTTATAATTTTATGTATAATTTTATGTTATAATTTTATGTTGAATTTTCATTTTGAAAAATGGAGAAAGGGGAAAGTATCTAAAGTATAGGAGTGCTGCAGAATTAATTAAAATTTCCTTTTAAAGAAAATAATCAGTAATGGAAAAAACTGAATTCCATATTTTGATTTTTAAAAGTTTCTAAAGGTTAGTGATTGAAGAAAACAACTTTCATACTCCTTACCCTTGAATATGCAATCTTTGTAAATTTATACAGTGTTTGGCATTTTCATGAGATGCAAGGTTCCTCCTTAAAACTCATCTTTTAGAATATTATTAAGGCCTCTTATTACAATGTAAAATATTATAAATATCTAAATATCTTAAATGCTATTCAAATAATTACCTAATTGTTAAGCCTTCTTTTTATGGAAGAAAAATTAGTTTGCAGATGCTAAATCTGATATATAAGAGAGATAACTGAAAATTGTGACATCTCCATTTGCTAGAAACTGCATGACATGAAGAGAATAGTATAATAATATATTGTTATGCAACAGTAACAAATTGATTGAGCTTTTTCAGATTTAATGTGCTAAATTTCCTATAGAAGGCTTTCTTTTTTATATTATTATTAAAATATGGAGTTTGCCATCTGCCTAAAAATTTCCTGTGAACTATCCCTTTCTGCTTAAAAAAAACTCATCAACATGATCTTATTTAAAACTTTCCTAATCAGATAATTGGTGTTTTGTCTCAGAATCATAAGCAAAGTATTAAGTCACAATATATTTGAAAAATCAAGATTAATGTCCGTGTGGAATCAACTCATGATGTGTAGAAATTTGGTCTCCCTTTTTGTTTTGCAGTCATGATGTAAAAGACAAAACAAGAACAAATTTTACTTTTTTCAATATCTTATTTGATATTTTTGTGAGCTTTGTCTTTACTGATGTTAAGCTTATCAATTTATCATTCAGAGAGCCAGGTCACAATTTTTCAGCATCCATTGTGACATATTTTCAATGCTCTTATTCATTTGAAATTGCCAAGTGTGACCATTCCTGGGTTCATCAACAACAGCTTCACATCGATCCTGAAATCACCTATACCAACAAAAGACACTGGGTCATGTTTAATGCTTGATCTTTGTATGTTTTATACATTTCAGATGTGTCTATTGCAGTTTTACAGAAAAACTTTAATTCTCTTCTTTAGTCGGTTTTCAAATCCATGACAGCAGATGTTTGCTAGATCAAAACAAAATGATTAACTATGTAGAAAATTATGTTTGCAAGGAGACAATAGTTAAGAAGAAAGCAAACTGAGATGTTATTAATAAATGCTGTTAATTATCATTTGGAATTTGTTAAGAAAGGGGGGAAAAGGCCAGTCTTAAAACTCTTCATATGCACAATATGTGCTTCCCAAACTCCTTTATGTAGGGAAAGAGCTGCAAAATTGCCAGTTCCTTCAGAGTATACTGTAATACAGTCAAAAGTCGTTAATCCGGACTCGTCAGGACTTCGGCGATTCCGGATTATCAATTTTTCCGCATTATAGATCATCAGTTTAAATCTCGTAAGATGGCATGCAGAAATTCTAAAATTAAAAATATGAAACCGTAATTGATAAAATAAAGAACAATTATGATCTAAAGGGTATCAAAATTTACAAAAAAGAAAGCTTAATATTTATTTGTTTACTTTATTAAACATTTCTTTCAATGTAAGTTGTTTAAGTTGCTTCGTTTTATGTGCTCTTTAATTCTATAAACTGACAAATTTCTTGTTCAGTTACAAAGTTCCGCTGTTCAAGTCCCGTTAATTGCTGTGCCGAGAATACCGACTAACTTGTCAATCGAAATTTTTTCGTTTTCACTAACTCTCTGTCACATTCTTCATGTCTTTATCCATTTTTTGCAGCAATTCCACTTTTTGTTTGATGGACATCGAAACATACTTACGTTTAATAAAATATACGTTTCGTACGATCCTTTGGGAGCTCCAGAATCAGGAATTCTATTTGACATAATCGAAAGTTCAAGTTTACTTTTATAGTATTTCCCTAACAGTGTGCAAAAAATAATAAGCCGGATCCAATTCGAAAATTAAGGAACAATGCAATCATCAATGTTAACTGAAATAGATAATTAGATAATTTTAGTTTATACCATCCGTTATACATAAAATGCGCACGCGAAAACGTATTCTGCGCTTGCGCAAACACATATTCGCAGTCGTAAAAGGTCTTACACGCACGCGTAAACGCCTATGCACATGTGTCAACGCTTGAGGTCCGAATTAACGACTTTTGACTGTATTATTTTATGCCACACTTTGAAATATTCAAAAAGTACTTTGATGTGACATAAAATATATAAAGTAATATAATATATAAAGTAAATACAGTAGACTCCTGATTAACCAAGGGGATGTACATAATTAAGGATAGCATAACCTAGGGATGATGTACATAATTAATGAAAAATCATGATTATACTTAAGGCAGTTAATAAAACACAGCAAGAAAGGGAATAACCAGTATTTTAACTAATAGTAAAATACTAACAATTAGCTTTTATTTTAAAAAGTTTACTCTGAAGAATAAGTTCACTTAGTTATATATATTAAATCAATACTAACAATTAGCTTTATTTTAAAAAGTTTACTCTGAAGAATAAGTTCACTTAGTTATATATATTAAATCAATATTCAAAGCAAAAAAACGACTGTAAGTAATGGAAGAGTAAACATCATTAGAAACAAAACAAAACAAAAAAACTAAGTTATAAATGGCATTAAATAACAATATTTGCATATAATATATATTGAACTTGAACATTATCATCGAGTTCATATTTAGTAAAATTGTTGGTTAGAACTTTTTGTGTTTTGGCTGAGTTTTCTCTTTTTAAGCTCTAAGATCTTATCTTCAAAAGCATCATGTTTTTACAATGGTCTATTGTCTTGCCTTTTTCAAGTAATTGAAAGCCTAATTTCTGGAAATAATATCATTGTTTACTGTAAAAAGTACTTGACAGTGAAATAATCAAATCCAAACTTTCAAGTGCATAGGTGGCATGGTTTTTGATAGCAGATTGTGCACAGATTGCAGGAATCAAGGTAAAATACAAGATTGATGGTTGTATACTTGATTTATTTTTAATGGATAAGTTAATAATATTTATATATTTCAGATAAAATTCCCAAATATTATAGCCCACCAGTGGCCGAGCGGTAAAGTCACTGAACACTGGTAGTTCGGTCCCAGGTTCGAATCCTGCGAACAGGCTGGCTGCATGGGCGTTTTCGTGGTTTTCCCCATGTGTAACGTGTATACGAGCCAGTTACCCTTAAAAAGTTCTCCACGAAGGCATCCTTCCCCTTAGGCAGATAGCCCTAGTGTGCTTTGCCATAATTAAATAAACCAAACCAAACCCAAATATTACAGCCTTCTATTTATTTTTCATTTCTTTTTCATATTTTTTATGAATAGTTTTGTTTTACTGTGATAATTGATGATCATTTTCCATCTTCCCACAATAAACAAACTTAACTGTTTTAAATGGAGCTTGATTAATCTATCACTAGTTAATTAGGAGTCTATTTTAGTTATACTATATGCAAAGAAGTATGTTCATTAGCAAAATCTTTTTATTATTTCATAAAGTAATTTCTGATTTTCATTGTCTTATAATATATTTCTTGCATGAGATTATTTGCATGATTACATTTTAAATTTAACTGCATAATCAAATTTGAAAGTATTTGCATTTCTGTTTATTAGTTACAAAAGCTGAAACTGAATGAGATTGAAGAAGAGCAAGCTGAATTTCCTGAGCTTACACGGAAAGATGCTGCCAAACTATCTGTTAAAACTTTAACATCTGATATAGAATTAGTGAAACTTCAAATGGAAAGTATGACGCCTAATTTATCAGCCATAAATGAATATAAAGTTAAGGTATTTCTTTTCTGTACTTCTGTTGTTATTTCCTATTTCATAAATTCTGATCATGAAATTTTGGTCCTAGCTTCATTTGCATTAAAGTTATTAAGTTGTGTATTGTTAAAGGAGACATTTTTCATCAATTTTGACGGCATTGGTTTCCTTGCATATTTTTACAATGCCTCATGGTTTGGCAGATGTCCTTTTGCTAATCTGTATCTGCTTGTTGTACACATATATGTATGACACTATATTATTGCAAGCTATGCATTCATCAGTGTCTCCTTTAAGTAACCATTTCAGACAAACAAGGAAAATATACACTTGTTACAACACTATAATTGGAAGATCTACAATTAATATGAGGAATAGTTGCTAAACACACAAAATAATAAATTGTTACGCAAAATAATGGCAATCAATTTGATTAAGCACAAAATAAAATCTAAAATTATCATCCTGAAAGCAACAAATAAATAATTAAGTAAAACAGTACACAGTTTTACAACAATACAATCAAGAAAAGATTTAAATATTCTAGGAAATTTACAACAATATTTATATCTGGTTGTAATGAAAGTTTTCTGCCAAAAACATTCTTAATAAAGTTAGGAAAAAAAAGAAAGCAGTACCTTTAATGTAGCTAGTAATCACCACACAAATCTATGATTTTCTGCCAACATTTTTGTAGTTTTCCAAAGCTTTTGGCCCAGAAACTTGGTGGCCACGAGTCCAAAAATACATCAGCCTTTTTTCGGACGTTCTGTGCAGAATGGAAGATAGCACCAGCAAGATGTGGCTGCAGTGTGAAAAAAGGTAGAAGTTCGAAGGAGCAACATTGGGGCATTGTGGTGGGTGTGGCAAAATGTCCCATTCAAGCCTGTACAAGTCCAGCCGGTGAATGAAGACACATGTGGTCTTGCATTCGCTTGATGGAACATTACCTTTTTTGTGCTGGAACTCAGTTCAATGTTTTTCCTTGGTAGCAGGGTCAACACTGACTAGCATATTGCTGCACACCTTACTGTTGAGGGTTTCATCTTTTTTTGAGATACTCTTTGTGGATAATACTACAGCAATCATACTAGGTACAAAACATGATCTTTTTGTTAGTAGTTTGTTGTGCTTTGTGATGCTGCCGACAGGCTCACAGGTTGCAAACCAAACCCTTTTTCAGCTTGTGTTGTTGAAGTAAATACACTTTTCATCACAAGTGACAAACCAGTCCAGGATTTTATCCTTGCATTGATAATTGAGCAGATTAGTGCAGGCCCAAACATATCTGTCCTTATCTGCTTGAGCCAGCTCATGCGGTACCCAGCGATTCAATTTGTACATCAAGTTTATGCAATGCATAGTGCATGTAACGGATGTGGCACTGTTGAATTCCTTAGCAGAGCTCTTGAGTGGTTGCATACTGACCTTCTTCCACAAATTCTCACAGATTGGCCTCATTAACATCAGTAGGCTGGCCAGAGCGCTCTGCTTCTTGAATGCATAGTCCTTGTTTTTGAACTTTTGGTACCAAACCTTCACAGTGTCATATGATACAACAGTAGTACCTAAAGCTGTACACATGATTTGATGGCATTCTGTAGCTGACTTTTTGCAACAGAACTGGATGTAAATGATGGTTCTAATCTGCTAGTGTGATAGTTCTGTTTCAGACACCTTGTACTTAATGAGAATTTTTTTACATATTTCACAATACAATATTCTAAAGTAAGTCTCTTTCTTTCAAATGCCAAAAAATGTATGACAAAATATGATTAAACACACCAATGCAAACTGTTTGCTCTGACAATATTTGCAGTGGAGGGAAGCTTTCTTTAAAACCCGATATAATTTTTGCATGTTTCAGTGTCTACGTTTTAGCTCATTGGATTGTTTGTTACTTCTCTGATGGGATACTGCTTATTATGTACTATAATATATTTAAGACTTTTTATTAATAAAAAAAATTATAAATACACTTTATATTTTAATAAAATATGAACTTGAGGAAAGAAGTTTGTGAGATATAAATCTGAATATAAGGAAAGCGATTAAGTTTTATTTATTAAAACTAGGAACAACATATAGCATTAATTTCAATTAATTTAATTTTTCTTTCTGAAACTGTTTTCTTCTAAGAACCATCTGTAGTTAAAAATTATGTTCTCTGGAGTTAAATTTTCTGAAACTTTTGCATACATTATAAACAAATTTTGTTTTCTTAAAAATATGTTATGAACAGAAATGTAAAATTTTATTCTCATAACAAGTGTACATCTGATCAATGCAATTATTGCATTTTATACGTATAATTTTAGGAAAAAGTTTTTAATGAGAAACAGAAAGAAGTGGATGAAATAACGCAAGAAAAAAATCTTCAAAAAATGCGATCTGATGAACTGAGTAAAAGACGTTTAGCTGAATTTATGTCAGGATTTACTGCTATTGCAAAAAAGTTAAAAGAGATTTACCAGATGTTAACGTTTGGAGGAGGTGCAGAATTGGAACTTATAGATCCTTTTGAACCTTTTGAAAATGGCATATTATTTAGGTATGTATTGTTGTGTATTTATTTTATTATATTTTAAGGTCCAGCATTCAGATTTTTATTGTTGCATTTTTTATATCGATTAACAATATGTTTAGTATACATAAGATATTTCGGATTTTTTACAGTAACATTATCGATCTAGATCTTCTTTTCCTTCCCCTCCTTAGTTTGGTAGATCTTCAGACAAAAGTGTTCAGTATATTGCATATACTCACATATAAGATGATCTATATATGCCTAGGAAATCTATCATAAAATCAAACTTCAACTTAACTTAATCAAGCACTTTCCAAAATGTTACACTTGGTATATATTTCTAAGTATAAGCTGAGATGTAAGATTTTATTGCAAAAATTTAAAGTCAACATTCAAAACCTGTATGAGAAATATATTTAAAATCGCCATATCGATCTTGCTATATATATCATTAGATGTGGAAACAATTAGTCATCTATACTACTAAGTGAATGAGCTGAAGGTTAGTGCCAATTCATCTTCAGTTCCCATTTAAAAAATAAATGTAAGAGCATTGTAAAATAGGAGGATATATTTGATACTAGTAGTTTCTCAATTATTCCATCTTTGGAAATATTGTGGCAAATTTTACTTTTGTTCTTTATTATGAAAAGTATTCTAAAAAAGTCACCAGTTCTTTGTGTCAGTTGTACTTTTGCTTTTGAGACTAAAATACTGTTCTTCATTTCTACCATATAGTGAAAGATGCCTAGGTAAGAAAGGTTTGCATGTTATGATGGATTTGTAACTACAAATTATCTTGTAATTTTTGCTTAGCTGCATTATGGGCAGAACTGAAGATAACGTGATACAGATTATAATGCTGTTATTAGAGAAATGAAGGACGATGACATTCACTTGGACTTGAATCTAGCATACACAGACTTCCAAAAATTGCAAGAAAATTCTGAGTTGAATTCTGCTTTTAAGAAATTTGTTTAGTTCATAATAGGGTCAAGTAAAATTAATATTTCCTGTTATTTAATATACATTATACAGTGTACACTTATTGCAGTATATATTTAGTACATTTACAGTGTGTATTTATAATTTCAACTCTGATATTTGGCATGCATTTAAAATGAATTGATGCAAGATATTTGAAATGAAAATAATTTTAAATTAGCTTTTTAAGTTGAAACTTAAACAGATGTGCAAACTCTGCTGCCTACCCTTGTTAAGCTGATTTCTGTGATGTGTCTGCATATGCACCATAAAGTCAAAATTGATTTCTTTCTTCTCCTTCTTCTTTTTTCTTTTTTTTCTTTCTTCCCCTCCCCCCTTCTTTAAGTTTTAAATGCAACCCATTGTAAATCGCTAAGGTTACTGTTTATTGAAACAAATCTCTTATAATGACAGAAATAATTCCCCTTTTAATCTTAATATGTGGCAGAATATCAGCAGAATTAGAATCAAGAGTAATTAATGCTCAAAATTACTGAGACTTAAGTCCAGTGTAACATATTTGTAAATACATAATTCTGATAAATATATTATTAAAATGTAAAGTTTAATATGTACATTAGTATTTTTAATCTGAAAAATCATTGATTAAACAGAGTTCGTGCGGTCCTTAACCCGGGAGAAGTCGCGCGGGGCTCAGAGTCACCCCATGCGTCAAAAATCAACAATCCTAACCGGAAATATTTCATTTTAATGAATCATCCTTTTAGTATCCTCCTGTTTGACAATCCCCTTGGAATGTGTATTGTTATTTTTGCTTGTTTTCCTTTTCTGCGAGAGAAGCAATCGTTTCTTGGAATCCATGAGGGAATGGGGTGACTGAGTCACCCCGTGCGACCGTTACTGCTTCGAAATTTTTCATTAGTAGAAGTTTAGCTTTGTGCTCTCGAGTGTTGCTGTTGTGGTTCTGTTGGATTATTTGATAGATAATGGTTTACAAACGTAAATTTACCGAACATGAAAAAGAGATGGAACGTTTGAGAACTGTGTTAGATGAAGTTGAGTCTTCTGAAGGAGAAATTGATCAAGATAGTAAAAATGAATCTGATAAAGAAATATACAGTTCTCACAACAGCGAAAGAGAATTTGAGCAGAATGATGAAGACGACGGAAATCCTGATTTAGTAAAAAGCATTTTTATTAGCAAAAATAAGAGTTTGGTGGAATGGAAAACCAAATCAAAAAGTGAAAAAGGTCTCAAATTATAATAACTCATTTAGCAGGATTAAAAGAAACTGCACGCAATATAAAGGAGCTTCTAGAAAGTTGAGAATTGTTTTCAATGCTAAAATGATACAATCCATTGTAGAGTGTACAAATATTATATTGGAAAAATATTACGACAAACGATGTGGAAATTAGAGCACTTTTTGGGGCTTTTACATCTGTACGGCTTGCATAAATCGTCACATAAAAATACGCAAGATTTGTGGGCTACTGAAAATTGAAACAGGCATTGACAATTTTACGGAACACAATGTCATTATAAAGGATTTAAATTCTTCTTAGGTGTCTATGGTTAGACAATGTGACCAAATCGTGAAGCTTGGAAAAAAATTGGACAAACTGGGGCGGCTGTGAGAGAATTTTTTACCGATTTCAATGAAAATTGCCAAAAGATATACCTTATTGGTAAATATGTTACTATCAAAGAAAAATTAGAGAAATTTCAAGGGCGGTGTTCCTTTCGTCAATATATACCCAGCAAACCCATCGAAGTATGGAATCAAAATATTTGCCTTAGTAGATTTCAAGAACTTTCTGCAGCTTATAACATGGAGATATACGCAAGACAACAGTCGGAAGGTCCACTTTAGATTTGAAAAATTCACTTCATTTGAAATTACAAAACGCCTGTGCACCCCTTTGTTTGGGCAGAAATGTAACAATGGATAATTCGTATACGAGTTATCCTCTAGCAAAAGAACTTTTGTCAAAGAAGTTAACTATTGTAGGAACCCTGAACAGAAACAAGGCTGAAATTCCCACCAAGTTCGTCCAAACAAAAACTAGGAACGGTTATTTATCTATATTTGGGTTCTAAAAGAACGCGACAATAGTATTGTATGTGCCTAAAAAATCAAACTGTGTAGTTTTGTTATCTACAATGCATTGCGATGATGCCATTGATAAAAGTGATGATACGAAGAAACCAGAAATAATTTACTTTCATAATGCAACAAAAGGTGGTGTAGATAAAGTTGATGAAATGTTATCATTATATTCGACATCTCGAAAAGCCAACAGATGGCCGATTGTCGTCTTTTACTGTGTTGAACTTCACTGCAATAAATACCCGAGTTGCTTTATTCCCAACAAAGACCCCTCCCTTACAATATGGAAATAGTAGAAAATTCCTAAAAAATTTGGCTATATCTCTTATACAGCGCCTTACATAGAGATTACAAAAAATATGTCAGTGTTTCCTAAAGTGGTTCGTGAAAGCATTGATAATGCGACTTCTAGTGTATCAGAAGAACGCCCATCAAAGAAACCAAAACTCGACAAAGGCCGACGTGCTACGTGTCCAAGATCCAAAGACAATAAAACTACAATTTCTTGCAAAATATGTGATAATTTTTCATGTAAAATTCATTCTTCCTATGTTTGCCAGAAGTGTATGTTAGCTTCTGACTCTTGATTAGGTATATACTTATTTTGAATGGATTTTTTTTTCTTAAATATTGAAACAAGTTTTTTAAGTAAAGAAGTATAGTTTCTAAATAAAATATTGCAATTATTGTTTATAATCAAATGATTTCTATAAAATATATAACACATTTTCCTAATGAAACTGCTTGGGGTGACGCTGTCACCCCGCACGATCTCCAATGTCAGTGTTGGGTGCGCGCCTTCTGCCTGGTTAAAAGTCCTTAGGTTTTTCTTTTAATCGATTTTTGTTCTTTAATTTCAGCCAAAATCGGCAGAAGGTCCTTAATTTTAATCATCTGAAATTTCTGTCGTGTTTTTACGACTGCTGTTTTGAGTGAATTACCATTATGGAAGAATACTTTTGACAATACACAGACAAATATGATTATTTTTTGAATGAGTCCATGGGTTTTAATTTGTTCCTATTTCTAATGTAAAGGATGAGATGCTGGAGTTTCTAAGCAAAGAGTCAAACATAAGCATTTCAAAATTATTTCATTTTTTTATAATGAAGGGCATTTAAACAGCTTTCTGCTTTTGGGGATGTGAATTCTTTTATTACATGGCTCTAAATTTGGTGACTTATCAATATTTTTGGCGATTACAAGATTAATTTTTAATGCAGAGATCTGGGAATTTTCCAACTTCTTTTTTTTTGGGGGGGGGAGGAGGGACATTATAACATTGATAAATTTAACTAAAATAATGGTAATATATTTAAATTACATTTAAGGAATAACATTAAAATAAAACATTTTTATTTTCTTTTGCTTTCACATTATAAAGTGGCATTACTTTCCATTTTGGCAACTTATTATATAGTATTTTTAATCTGAAAAATAAGAAAGGTAATAAATGCTATAAAGCACAGTTTACAGAACAATTCATAGCAAAAGCAAAATAGCTGTATAATTAATTAAAAATTTCTTCCTTTTAATTTTTTCATGGTAAGAATTTTATAAAATTAATTTTACGCTTTTTCCACTCACCCCCCCCCCCAAAAAAAAAAAAAAAAATTCTAGCCGTTTTTCTGTTGCAGAATTGGTAAGACTAATTTTTCTTTGGGATTTTGCATATTGCAACTTGGAAAGTTTAGAAGGATTTGAAGGCAAGATTTACAGACCCACAATTCTAGAAGGCTCCAGAAAAAATTGACAAAATGAAAATGTCTTCATTGTATTAACACATAATGGTTGTATTTTACAGAAAATTTGTGATGAATTTCTTACATTTTGGGGAATTTTTGGAAGGATAATGAAAACATAATGTTTGAATGTTGTACTTGTGATACTAGAAGTTTATTTCTTAACATGTTTATCTTCTCTTTATTTTCTCAACTTTTCACTAGACACAGTATGGAAAATATCAAA